GAAATGTCACGTGTTGTGACAAAACCAAAACTTGTTCGTTTACCGTGAAACTGTAATCCTTTCGTTAATATGATCCGATCGATTACGAGATATTGATATGTGTCAATCTCAATTATTGATCATATCTTTTATCCTACTGTTAAGTTAATGTAAGTTGAAAACTCATTTTCAACTTATGAGTTCACCGTAGCCAATGATTTCATTATCAACTTAACTGAATAAAATGTAGATCATAATCTCTTATTATCTAAGAGTGACGAATTCTCTATCAATCATTCACAACCTTCATATGATTCTTGACATACCCGAACGATGTTGTATTAGCGACCCTTGACAGAGCAACATTCAACACCACCAAAGTATGACTTTCCTCATATAAGGTACTGTGATGACCTCAAGTCAAAGGACGAATTCTACTACCGAACGTTAGAGATTAACCACTAACACTCAGATAGTTATCCATGTGGAATCTCCCAACGGGTCTCTAATGTTTTGTAACAAAACATCCACGTGTTCATTCATTTGTCACAACATTTTAGCTTGTGAGATCAGCTACTTACTTCACAAGTAAGAATGGCATACGCGACGATCTATCCGTAATAACGATATCTGTATCTCGTTACTACTTCGACCACAAACTCTTTTGTTTTTTCTTGAACTCCAATTATCACGATCTGCAATCCAGACTGTCCAATTGTCCAGCCTCCAATGGTGATCCACACAGAGAACAAGAATGACGGCTAGAGTTTACTTTTCTTGTGCTATCAAGAATAATGAAAAATTCCTTACATTTTACAAACCCTAACAACCTATTAATATAAGCCCAAGTGAGTTTGGCCCATCTCTAAACTTAACCCGATCCGATATTTAATTAATTAATCAATTAAATTCGGTCCATGAATTAATTAATTGGATTAATTAATTCAGGCCTATTAATAAGCAAACCAATTAATTAATTATTCAACAATTGTCAATTAATTAATTGGTAAATATCATTTTTCTGGTTCTCTTTTGTGTGTGACTCATTAGGTTCCCGATTACGATATCTAACGACGTGAATTATTAGTTTGATCTAATCAAAATCGATAAATTAAAACACTGCTTTTAATTTATCACTAATTCACATTCGTCGTCCCAGATTGACATCTAACAATGTGTCGGGCACTACATATGATATAAAATGTCACGTGATGTGACAAACCAAACTTGTTAGTTTACCGTGAAATTATAATCCTTTCGTCAATATGATCCGATCAATTATGAGATATGGATATGTGTCAATCTCAATTATTGATCATATCTTTTATCCCACTGTTAAGTTAATGTAAGTGGAAAACTCATTTTCGACTTATGAGTTCACATTGGCCAAAGATTTCATTATCAACTTAACTGGATAAAATGTAGATCATAATCTCTTACTATCTAAGAGTGACGAATTCTCTATCGATCATTCACAACTTTCATATGATTATTGACATACCCGAACGATGCTGTATTAGCGACCCTTGACAGAGTAACATCCAACACCACCAAAGTATGACTTTCCTCATATAAGGTACTATGATGACCTCGAGTCAAAGGACCAATTCCACTACCGAACGTTAGATATTAACCACTAACACTCAGATAGTTATCCATGTGGAATCTCCCAGGGGGTCTCCAATGATTTGTTTTATGACAAAATATCCACGTGTTCATTCAAGTATCACCACAATTTAACTTGTGAGATCAGCTACTTACTTCACAAGTAAGAATGTCACACGCGATGATCTATCCGTAATAACGAATCCGTATCTCGTTATTATTTCAACCACGGACGATTTAAGATTCGATCATATGTAATTTGTATCTCACAATCACAATTTCTTGTGATTAACAAATCACCAAGATTTGCATCTACGGATTCTATTATTTAATTTATTATAATATTACTTCAATTATATACTAGATNTCTATTATTTAATTTAATAGAATATTAATTCAATTAAATAATAGATATTGCCATGCATATGCATCAATTATATTTATTTAATGTGTTTATGTCCAAAGTTGATTGAACTTAGGGCATAACACTTACAAGCTATATCTAGTGGACTTCTTAAAAATTGATTCCGGAGATATCCTCGTTCAAAAGTGTAAAGAGGGGAATTTACTATTTGTTTTGTGAATTAGGGAATGATTGGTTATACTTCTTTATTTTGGTTTCTTCATTTCTTTTCTGCTCAATTCCCATTGCAGTAATCATTTCCACGAACTTGCTTGGATTTTTTTTTTTGAAAAACTCTGTTTGGTATTGGATAGATAGATTATATGCCATATGCCAGGCTGGTATTTCTTGACGTGAGAGAAGCTGATTTGTGGTGGTGAAGAGTAGACTGAACTTTTTGCTCAACCTTTATGTGCATTTCAAGGTTCTTATCCTGTATTGAGAGAACAAGTGTAGCGTAAGGCTAATGACTTCCACATCTGGGCACCAAACTAAGCCTTTCCCCCAATAAATTGGGTTTCGGCTACACAAATCCTTTTTCACTTTCTCCATTTGGTACACTTCTGTATCTACAGAAAAATCTAAAGCAACTAGATACATTGCTGAGACACGCATATATATGCATACTATGTCACATTTTATTTTATTTTTATGTTTTTACCATGCTTTAACTCATGGATGATCTTTATAGATCTTTTAGCTGACATTGTCCTTACCATCATTTTTTGAATTTGGTCAAGTTGTACAGTCAACTTGGCCAGTTCCCTCTTCTTTCTTTGGTGTCATGAGGATTGGTTCACCCCCTTTCTTCTGTTCAGGGTCAAACAAGAGTGTCATAATATAGTGAGCTTCTTTATCCACCTTAACAGGTTAAAAGATGTGAAAAATGGGGTAGGAATGTACTAATAAATTTACATCCTCTCCCTGTCTGAGAACAAAAATTGTTGAAAATTATAATGCCTTAAGCTACTTCTGATTAAATATAGACTTCCCACTATGACTCTGCCTAATCTAATGTATTATATCTGTACAGAATCTGCAGTGCGGGGAGAGTGTGATGATTGAAGGCCGAGCTTATACAGTTTCAGCTGTAACTCATCGTTACCAGCTCCGAAAAGGAAAGTACGAACCTAGCGAGAAAAGGCTTGATGTACTGTCAACTGGAAGATACATAGTAAATTTGTATTTGGAAAATTTGCTTCAAAAATCTTGATTTTGTTTTCGTTGGAAAAGGTTTTTATGTACATTGAAGTGAAAAAGAGAAACTGAACTTAGTGAATCTGTATAATAAATTATGTAGCCAATTACATATTTATTGGGTATTTCTTACACAAGTCAATTATTGATCCCATTTTATTAAAATAAACCACTCTTAACTGGTATGTGGTTGATCTCATAAATTCAAGTTGGGATCGATCATTCTTCGACTAGTTGAAGTTGACTGCAATTGCAGTGAGTACGAGTTAAGCTATAGTTGTGGTTATCCAATGTCGGCCCTCACTATAGGAACTGTCTAAGCCTTGAACAGGTTATTATTAACAAAGCCTTTTTCATCAGTCAATTCGTTTAAAATGTGCAGACTCGCTCCTTTTCCTATATAAAAATCAGTCCTTGGCTTTGTCCATTGCAAGCTGAATGTTTTGATCCATCACGCGTGCAAATACTTAAGAGCACAAAACAACTTTTATTAAGGAACTCGACAAAATAGTCACGTAATTTAGGACGAAGAGGTGCCTCCTTACGAAGGTGGTCACAATAACTAAGTCGAGGTGACTGATTAATAAAAGTAAGGGTAAATGTATTTGCACAATAAATTTTAGTAACTAAGTCGAGGTGACTGATTAATAAAAGTAAGGGTAAATGTATTTGCACAATAAATTTTAGTAACTAGTGTTAGAATAAGAGGAAATTACACATAACCAAGTCTTAAGTTTGGCTTTTTTAAAAATTAGATTTTCATGTTTTTTATCATTTTAATTAAATAATTAATCTTTTAAAACCCTAATTTATTTATCAATTCCTCACCCCCCTCCCACCCCACACATCGTCTCTCTCTCTCTCTCCATCCCTGCCGCCTCCTCCCCTTTCCCCTCCCTTTTCCATTCCCTTCCTCCCTGTCGGCAGCAGCATCGAAGCGCTGCTGTCAATCGCAGTAGTGCCTCGACGCTGCTGCCTTTTACAACAGCGTCGCGACACTGCGACGCTGCCGACAGTAGTGTCAAGGAGCTGCTGTCAATTGCAGCAGCGCCTCGACTCGGTAGCGTCGCAACGTTGTGTGGTTGTGTGGAAGTAGCTGCAGAAGACACCAAGGACTGGAATTGGATGAAGCTGAGCTAGATGTGTGTGGGTCTGTGGTAGGGCAGATCTCTATGTATGGCGGATGTGTGTGTGTGGTTGAGGGAATCCGTGTGGTGGACCTCTGTGTGTGGGGCCCGTGTGAGATAATGGTGCCCCGTGTGGTGGTGGTCGTTTTTTGTTACTATTGTGGCGATGATTGTGGTCGTGTTTTGATGGGGTCGAAGGTGGTGCTGGTGGGTTTCTTGGTATTGTGGTGCAGGGGTTGATGATGATGGTTGTTTTTTATTATTATTGTGGTTGTGGTGGTATTGTGATGGAGGGGACGTTATTGGTGATGCTATGCAGGCGACGACGATGGTGGTGGTTTGGGTGGTGGTGGTTGTTGGTGGGATTGGGGGACGGGTGCGGAGGATGGGTCGAAATGTATGTGACTATCTATTTGGTCGATCTATGACCTGTGACAAATAAATTTTTTTGATCGATCTGTGACCCGTGATCTAGTCGATCTGTGACCTCGAAATAATCCGTGACCTATAAAATTTTTGATTTGTGACCGGTAAAAAAATTGTGACCTAAAAGTTTTAGATCTATGACCTCGAAATAATCTGTGATTTACCAAATTTTTTATCAGTGACTGGAGAACAGTCGTCGAAGTGCTCGTCGGTCACATGATTAGTCGCCGGAAGGGGAGGTGGGGTGTGGTGGGGTAATTATATTATATTACAGTTAAATATTTAATTTAATATAATAATTGTGAAATATAATTAATTAATTCATGAAAAACCTGATTTTTGCAATTCTAAACTTTGGAGGCCTGATTTTTTATTTGGGAATAGA